TGCTGGGGGATTCCACGTGCTGCGTGCTGCTTGGCCTGGCTGTGCTGGCGTGGCCCTGGCTCAGCTCCGGGAGTCCCCACTGGCTGAGCCTGGGAGCTGTGGCCCTGTCGCTGGCCCTGCTGCCGGCCCGCCTCCCCCCGGGGCTGCGCTGGCTGCCTGCAGACTTGGCCTTTGTAGCCCAGCTCCTCAGAGTGGGCCTGTATATCAAGGTGCGCTGCAGCCGCCGGCCGCCCAGCACCTTCGTGGATGCCTGTGAGCGGCGGGGGCGGGGGGCGCACAGCCTTGGTGTGGACGGGGCCCGGGTCCTGTGCAGTCACCTTTGGCGAACTGGATGACCGGGCTTGCCGGGCGGCATGGGCACTGAAGGCTGAACTGGGTGTCCCTGCAGGCCCGTGTGCTGGGGAGACTGCCGCCCTCCTGCTGCTGGCTTCCCGCACGGTCCCTGCACTGTGTCTATGGCTGGGGCTGGCCAAGCTGGGCTGTCCAGTGGCCTGGATCAACCCGCATGGCCGGGGGACGGCCCTGGCACACTCTGTGCTGCGCTCTGAAGCCCAAGTGTTGGTGGTAGACCCAGGTGAGGGCCCTCTGGGCCGGTGGGGATGGGCTGGGCGAGGCAAAGGACACACTGGAGGACAGACATTCTAGAGGACACTGGGCCAGGAGCTCGGGGCTTCCCAGACCCTTGTCTCCCTCAAAGGCCATTAGAATCAAAACTTCAGGTGACCGAGAGTGATTGAGGCCACTAGAGTTCTAATTATTCTCACAATGGCTATTTCTTTTGTATTTTAAACTAGTTTTTATTTTATTTTATTTTATTTTATTTTATTTTATTTTATGTTATTCTTCAATTTGACCAGAGAGAGAGAAAAAAAGGGAAAATGAAAAAGCAAGCCACCAGGTCTGGGACTTGAACCTTGGTTGGCCATGTGGGAGTCCAGCACCTTAACCACCATGCCACCTGCTGGCCCCAACAATGGCTATTTCAATCCTTCACGCCCAAATATACTAATGATGTGATTCTCTGGTAGCTGCTGCTCTGCCGCGGGCCTCAGGTCTACCCTCATTACTTCAAAGGTGAGCCTTGCCTCAGTTTCTTCTCTGACCCCTACCCGTAGACCTTCAGGAGAGCTTGGAGGAGATCCTCCCCGAGCTGCAGGCCAAGAACATCCGCTGCTTCTACCTCAGCCACACCTCCCCGACGCCGGGGGTGGGGGCCTTGGGAGCCGTTCTGGACGCCGCGCCCTCTGACCCACTGCCTGCTGACCTGCGTGCCGGGATCACAAGACAGAGCCCTGCCTTGTTCATCTACACCTCAGGGACCACTGGTGAGGGCGCCCGGAAATCTTGGCCTCTGAGGTCTAAGCCCAAGCTGTGTTGCCAGTGACCTCTGAACCCTTCTTATCCTCTGATATTAACACTTGGCCTTAATGCTGAATCTCAATGTGATTTGAGCCCAGTAAACAGCCACTGAGGTCTGGCTCTGTGGCCTTATGGTTAAGGCAGTTGGATCCCATGTGGCTGACCCTGTGGTTCTAGTCCCAGACCCAGCAGCTTGAGAAACACACTGGGTGCGTGTGCATGCATGCCCAAAATCCCAATAGGAGGGAAGGATGGAGAAGGGATTGTGGTGTGACCATTCCCCATGGTAGGTGCTTTCTCTTCTCCCTTTCCAAAAAGCACTCACTTGTTGGGACCAGCAGTTAGTGTAATGGCTATGTTGCTAGACTCCCATGTAGTAGACCACGGTGCTTAAACTAAGCTGGGTGCGTGTGTATGTGTGCCCGAGATCTTGAGAGGAGAACGGAGGAGAAGGGATTGCGGTGTGGCTACACCGCAATGATTTCTCGCTTTCTGTCTCTCTCTTTCTGGCTAGCGCACGCACCCTATATCAAAACCTCTCAAAACAAACAAACAAACAAACAAACAAAAAACAGCCACTTGAAACCCTTACTAACCTTTGGTGTTTAATGTGTAACTCCCAGTCAGAATTCAGCCTCTGAACCCAACCACGAATCTCCATATTTGTGCACTTTGAGGGCCTCATGCCAGATGCAGGCCTGACTATAAACCTGCACCTGCGTGTCATCCCTCTCCCCTGGTGTCCTTTTGCCACCCCATCCTTCCCACTTCTTCCTCTCCAGGGCTTCCAAAGCCAGCCATCCTCACACATGAGAAGGTCCTGCAGATAAGCACGATGCTATCTCTATGTGGGACCACAGCTGCTGACGTTGTCTACACGGTCCTGCCACTGTACCACACGATGGGGCTTGTCCTTGGGGTCCTTGGCTGCTTAGAGCTTGGTAAGCCCTTCTCTGAGGACCCCTTGAATTGACAGGACACAGGAGTGGGTATCAGGGTGGCACTGGCAAGGTGACAAGATCCCCTAGGTTACCCAGCACCTGCATTCTCACTTAGAAGGGGCACACAGTGCGGCCAACAGGTGGCGTGGTGGTTAAGGGTGCTGGACTCCCACATGGCCGGTTGTGGTTCTAGTCCCATATCTGGCACCTTGATTTCTCACTTTCCCTCTCTCTTTCAATCACTCTCTCTCTCTGTCTTTCTCTAGTCAAATTAAATAAATATAAATAAATAAAATTACATACAATTATTATTTTTTTTTGAGAGGTTTTTGCTATAGGGCATGTGTGCTCACCAGAAAGAGAGACAGATGGAACGCCAAAAATCACCCCCCGGGGGGATGGCCACGCCGCAATCCGCAATCCCTTCTTCCCCATTCTCCTCTCGGGATCTTGGGCATGCACGCACATGCGGCTGGTGTGAGTTTAAGCCACCGGGTCCGGGACTTGAACCGTGGTGGACTACATGAGAGTCCAGCAATGTAGCCATTAGGCCAACTGGTGGTCCCAATAAAATAATTATTCAAAAATAAGAAGGGGCACACAGCAGCAAGTCCCAGAGCTACCTGGACAGAGGCACAGACACCCAGACAACTCCTCATGGCTGTGCTTTGGTCAGGAGGTGACAAGCACTGATAGGAGTGATGGCTGTGGGCATTCGGGGAGGCTGGAGCTCAGGAGGGTCGGGATGCTGACCCAGATTTGTGACGTGCCCAGGAGGAGCCCACTGAACACTCCCCCACTGGATCCCTGGAGACTGGAGAAGGGATTGCGGCATGGCCATCCCCCCTGGGGGGGTGATTTCTCATTTTCTGTCTCTGTCTCTCTCTGTCTGGCGAGCGCACGTGCCCTATAGCAAAAACCTCTAAAAAAAAAAAAAAACCCTCATGTATTTACCACCAGCTTTAGCCACCAAACATTTTACTCTATTTGTTTCATTTATCACCTCCCCTCCATTCCCACTTGCTCTTTTATTCTCATGTTTTTAGTTTTTTAAAGGTGTTTGCCATAGGGAACGTATACTCGCCTGAGAGAGACAGAGATAGAGACAGTGAGATGGAAGTGAGAAATAACCTCCCAGGGGGATGGCTACATCGCAATCACTTCTCCATTTACCTCCTGAGATGTGGAGCATGCACATACATGTGCCTGGCATGATTTTTAAGCCACTTCGCCCAGGACTCAAACTGTTGTCTGCTGTATGGGAGTCCAGCTCCTTAACCACCATGCCACCTGCTGGCCCCAATAATTTATTTTTTAAATATAAGAGGGACCAGCAAATGGCATAATAGTTAAATTGCTGGACTCTCACATGACTGACCATGGTGCTGAGTGTGTGTGCATGCATGCCAAATGTCCTGGGAGGAGGACAGAGGAGAAGGGACTGTGCCTGCCGGAGAAGGATATGATTTCTCACTTTCCCTCTCTGTCTCTTGGCCAAGCACATGCATCCTATGGCAAACATCTGGGGCCAGCAGGTGGCATGGTGGTTAAGGGCCCTGGACTCCCACATGGCCAACCGTGGTCTGAGTCCTGCACCTGGCGGCTCGCTATGTCACTTTCCCTCTCTTTCACTCTCTGACCAAATTAAGAATTAATAAATAAATAAATTTAAATAATATTTTTTTCTTTTTTCTTTTTTTGGGAGAGGTTTTTGCTATTGGGCTCATGAACTCGCCAAACAGAGACAGAGAGACAGAAAGCGAGAAATCACCCCCCATGGGGGGATGGCCACGCCTCAATCCCTTCTCCTCCATTCTCCTCTCGGGATCTTGGGCACATGCACACACACGCCTGGCGTGAGTTTTAAGCCACCAGGTCTGGGACTCGGACCGCGGTCGACTACGTGGGAGTCCAGCAACATAGCCATTACGCTAACTGCTGGTCTTGGTTAAATAATTTTTTAATCTAAAATAATAATATTATAAAATATTCCAGTGTAGGGACCAGCAGGTGGCATGATAGTTAAGGCTCAGGACTCCCACATGGCGACTGCAGTTCAAGTCCTGGATCTGGTGTCTTTCTTTCTTTCTTTCTTTCTTTTTGAGAGGTTTTCTCTATAGGGCACGTGTGCTTGCCAGACAGAGAGACATAGAGACAGAAAATGAGAAATCACCCCCCAAGGGGGATGATCACTCCGCAATCCCTTCTCCTCCCTTCTCCTCTCGGAATCTTGGGGACGCATGCACACGCGCCCGGTGTGAGTTTTAAGCCACCAGGTCCGGGATGCGAACCACAGTCAACTACGTGGGAGTCCAGCGACATAGCCATTACGCTAACTGCTGGTTCCCGTGACTTACTTTCTTACTTTCCCTCTCTTTCTCTGTCTCTGATGAGTACATGTACCCTATAGTAAATATAAAAATAATAAAATTTTTTGAAATTGCAGTATATATCTCTAACACATAAAGACTAAAAAAGTGGGGCCAGCAGGTGGTATGGTGGTTAAGGGCGCTGGACTCCCACATGGCTGACTGTGGTTCAAGTCCCAGACAGGTGGCTTGCTTCCTTATTTTCTCTTTCTCTCTCTTTCTCTCACTCTGTCCCTCTCCAGTCAAATTTAAATAAATAAATAAATAAATAAAGTACACGAGTACTTTAAAAAAAAAAAAAAGGACTGAAAAAGTAACCATACCTGACAAAATTAACAGTAACCCTTTAAGGGCCAACAGGTGGCATGGTGGTTAAGGGCACTGGACTCCTACATGGCCAACCGCAGTTTGAGTCCCAGACCAGGTGGCTTGCTTTCTCACTTTCCCTCTCTTTCTCTTTCTTCCTGCTGTCCCTCTCTGGCCAAATTTAAATAAAATAAAATTTAAAAAAATATTTAAAAAACAGTAACCCTTTAATATTTGATGTACAGTTCATGTTCAATTTTCACATTTTCTAATTGTCTTCTTTTTTTTAGAATTATATAATTTTATTTATTCATTCATTTATTTTAATTTGACCAGAGACACAAACACATACACACACACACACACACACACACAGAAAGAGAGAGAGAGAAAGCAAGCCATCAGTTCTGGGACCTGAACCGCAGTCAGCCATGTGGGAGTGTCCAGTGCCTTAACCACCATGCCACTTGCTGGTTCCCTCTAATTATCTTCTTACAGTTTAATAATCTCATTGTAGTTGCTTGTTAGGTCTGTGGTCCTCTTTCCCCCCACATTTGATACTGGATTGGAAATTCCTTCTACAGGCATTGTTAGATTCAGTTTCAGTTTTTCTTGGCAAGAGCGAAGAACAGTTTGGTGTCTGTACTTTCCAAGTTGGCACATTGGAGGCAGCCTCTGCCTGCTATCCTGCCTTTACAAATAGAAGTTTGATTGGGAAAGCTTCCCACCAATACTGTCTCCCCATTGATATTACTAGCTCTTGAAGACCTTTCCCAAATCAGATGTTTCATTAGGGGCTGCAACAAAACTGTTGCTTTCAAGGATTTGACATTAATTTTCATAGGGTATATCTCTCTGCCAAAATACAGTCTCAGAGAAGACACCCTTGTTACTTCATGGAGTACATGAGCAGTTTTCACTTTGGGTGCAGAGGGGTGGTATTTAGCTTGCAATCCTTGTTGAAGACGGTGGAGCTATGTAGAGTACCTTCTACAGATCCAGATGCAGAGGAGGGTATCAGGAGAGAGAGATCATTTTCCTGGAGTGAGTGCTCTGGTCCCTAATGATTAATCTTACTAATCCATGTGTCCATCTATCAGTGCTTCCATTCAGCCCATCAACCTGCCTGTCCATCTACTCAGCTACCCCTTCACCCACCCATGTCTCTATTCATCCCTCTACCCAGGGATCCACCCACCCACCCACACATCCACCCATTCACTCACCCAGTCTACCCACTCGCCTTTCCATCCACCTACCAGCCCATCTGCCTAGCTGGACATTTATTTATCATAATCTAGAATACTGGGGCCTGAGGCCTACAGGTGTCATTGTGGTTAGAAGGCACTGGATTCTGGGACCAGCAGTTAGCGTAATGGCTATGTCGCTGGACTCCCACGTAGTCGACCGCGGTTTGAGTCCCAGACCCAGTGGCTTAAACTCGTGCCGGGCGTGTGTGCGTGCATGCCCAAGATCCCGAGAGGAGAATGGAGGAGAAGGAATTGCGGCATGGCCATCCCCTCTGGGGGGTAATTTCTCGCTTTCTATCTCTCTCTGTCTGTCTGGTGAGTGCACACGCCCTATAGCAAAAACCTCTCCAAGAAAAAAAAATTGGGGCTGGCAAGTGGCATGGTGGTTAAAGGTACTGGACTCCCACATGGCCGACCATGGTTCAAGTCTCGGACCTGGTGGCTTGCTTTCTCACTGCCTCTCTCTCTGTCTCTCTCTGATCAAACTGGAAAATAATAATGATAATAATAATAAAGTTAAATAAAATCATTCTTTTTAAAAAATTTTTAAAAAGGCACTGGATTCTCACATGGCTGACCATGGTTCAAATCCTAGACGTGGTGGCTTGCTTTCCCACTCTCTCTCTCTAATCAAACTGGAAAATAATGATGATAAATAAAGTTAAATAATTCTTTTTATTTATTTATCTTATTTTGAAAAAGAATCACTTTAACTTTCTTTCTTTCTTTCTTTCAAGTCGACCAGAGAGAGAGAGAAAATGAGAAAGGAAGCCGCCAGATCCAGGACTCAGACCAAGGTTGGCCATGTGGGAGTCCAGCACCCTTAACCACCATACCAACTGCCAGCCCCCAAAAGAATTCTATTTTTTTAAAGAATTATTTAACTTTATGTATTTGAATTTGACCAGAGAAGGACAGAGAAAGAGAGAGAGAGAGGGAGGGAACATGAGAAAGCAAGCTGCCAGGTCTGGGACTCAGACCAAGGTTGGCCATGTGGGAGTCCAGCGCCCTTAACCACCATGCCACCTGCCAGCCCAGTAAAATAATTCTTAAAAAAAAAAAAATAAAATAATGACTGGAGCCTGACAGTGGTACAGCAGTAAAGCAAGGTCCTCTGTGACATTGACTGACATGAGAGGGTCCCCGGATTGCGTCCAGAGCCCTCCACGAGTATGCTTGGCACCCATGGTGTCCATAATCTGGGGATGATTGAGCTGAGGATGGATCATGGCATCAAGAACCTGTTGGAGGGACCAGCAGATGGTGTAATGGTTATGTTGCTGGACTCCCACATAGTCTACCCGGCAGCTTAAAACTCATACCAGAGGGGCCGGTAGGTGGAGTGGTGGTTAAGGACATTGGACTCCCACATGATTGACTGTGGTTTGAGTCCCAGACCTGGAGACTTGCTTTCTCATTTCCCTTCTCTTTCACACTGTTCCTCTCTAGTCAAAAACAAACAAACAAAAAACCATAAATACTTAAAGTTAAATAAAATAATTCTTTAAAAAGAAGAAAACTCGGGAACTAGCAGTTGGTGTGGTGGCTGTGTCGCTGGATTCCCACGTAGTCGACCGCACTTCGCGTCCCGGACCTGGTGGCTTAGAACTCACGCCGGGCACATGTGCGTGCGTGCCCAAGATCCTGAGAGGAGAATGGAGGAGAAGGGATTGCGGCGTGACCATCCTCCCTGGGGGGGTGATTTCTCACTTTCTGTCTCTCTCTGTCTGTCTGGCGAGCACACGCACCCTATAGCAAAAACCTCTCAAAAAAAAAAAAAAAGGAAAAAGAAATTTAAAAAAAAGAAAGAAAACTCAAAAAAAGAAAATGTCCAAAATCCCAAGAGGAGAATGGAGCAGAAGGGATTACAGCATGATCCATCCCCCCAGGGGATGATTTCTCACTTTGGGTCTCTCTGTCTTTTTTTGTCTCTCCAGCAAGCGAATGTGCCCTATAGCAAAAATCTCTCTTAAACAAACAAAAAAAAGAATGAAAATGCTGTCTCTGCTGCTCCTTGTCTCATGGAAAAAAATAAACTATATGTATATAAAATATGACAAATATCCATGGCTTTTTTTCAGTAATACTCACTTTGTACCAGGAAGTGAGCTTTCCATATCATCAGGAATTTGACAGGATTTGAACCCAGGCCTACATATGTTCTGCTGGGGGCATTCCTAGTAGGGCCAAGGACACAGGTGAGCTCTACCTATCGCTGTATTTCAGGAGCCACAGTCAGGTTACCAGAGCTACTACTCACAGCAGCCTGAAGCAGCCTGACACTCCTCCTCCCCTCCCTCCCAGGAGCCACCTGTGTCTTGGCGCCCAAGTTCTCTGCTTCCACCTTCTGGGATGACTGTCGGCAACATGGCGTGACCGTGATCCAGTATGTGGGTGAGATCCTGCGGTACCTGTGTAACGCTCCCCAGGTAAGTCAGAAGTGATGCCCAGAGGTACCGGGCTCAGGTAAATACTCAGGTGTAGGACTCAAACAAGGTCTATTCCATAAAACACCCCAGGCAAGAGCCCACATACAGAGTTCCACGCAAGGTGTCTGATAGCGACACCTTTGATGCTCAGCTTGCTAACTTAACTTGGGCAGGTGACTTTACCTCTCAATTTCCTTATCCTTGTTTGGAAAACAGGGATAGTATTAGCTGTTATCTGTAGGGGCCTTGTGAGAATTAAATAAGTTACACATATATAAAATGCCTAGAACTGGGCGTGTCTCAGGGAAAACTCAGTAGATGTGTGCTGGCCTCATCCTTACAGAGCAGTGAGAAAGACCCTCAGGTAACCCCTCAGGATGAGGCCTGAAGCCACTTCCAAAGTGACCCCTCTAGGTAAGTTTTCCAGGTAACACCCCACAGGTAAGGCCCCAAGTAATTTCCCCAGGAAAGGCCCTGCTGATAACCCTCCATGCAGACTGCAGGAACTACAGTCAAGTAAGAGCCCCAAGTAAATCCCCAGGTATGGGTCCTCTGTCCACCCTCTGGTAATCCCTGAGGTAAGGGTTCTGGGCATGCCAAAGGACACCTTCTCACTGTTTTCGGGACATCCCTGTAGCAACCAGAGGACAGGACACATACAGTCCGCTTGGCAGTGGGCAATGGGCTTCGAGAAGATGTGTGGAAGACCTTCCAGCAGCGCTTCGGCCCCATTCGGATCTGGGAAGTCTATGGCTCCACGGAGGGCAACGTTGGCTTTGTCAACTATCCTGGGCGCTGCGGAGCCCAGGGCAAGATGAACTGCTTCCTCCGAGTGAGTGGGTCAGGTGCGGAGCAACAGTGCCCCCTACTGACGAAGAGCGTGTGGGGCCTCTGCCAATCTCCACTCTATCTCAGATGCTGTCCCCCTTCGAGCTGGTGGAGTTTGACACGGAGGCAGCAGAGCCCATAAGGGACGATCGGGGCTTCTGCATCCCTGTGGGACCAGGTATGGGTAAGGGCACTTCCCCTAGGTGTGGGAGGGGTGGAGATCCCCGCCTCCTCGACTGGAACAAGCTGCAGTGGGGTGGTCTGCAACTTTCATCTGGACCCGGTCCTTGGCCTGTCTGGCTCCCATCTGGGACCCTCTGCCTTGATTGGACCCTGCTTGGCTGCACTGCCGCAGTTTCTTGTTTGGTCTGCTAGATGTCTGCGTCCATCTAGTTCTCTGGAGCTTTCTGTGGGGCACCATGTCTTCCCAGGCATCCATCTGATGCCCTGTACCTTCTCCTGGTGGTATTTTCTTCTGGGGTCTTGCAAGGCCCTGGCCATCTTTCTTTCCACCACTGCTTGTCTCTGTCCCTTGCCTATAACTAATACATTTTTTTCTTTAAGTTTTCCTATAGGGTGTGTGGGCTCTCTGCAGAGAGAAAAAGCAACCAAGAAATCATGGGGGGGGGGTTGTCATACTGTAATGTCTTCTCTACTCTCCTCTGGATTTGGGGCACAAATGCACATGTGCCCTGCATGGTTTTTTTCCTTCTTTTTGTATAGGTTTATGCCATAGAGTGTGTGTGCTCACCAGAAAGAGACAGAGGGAAAGTGAGAAATCGCTCTCCTGGGGGGATGGTCATGCTGCAGTCCCTTCTCCATTCTCCTCCTGGGTTTTGGGTACGCATGCACACGCACCCAGCTGGTCCAGACTAACAGCTGTTGGCCATGTGGGAACCCAGTGCCTTCACCACTACACCACCTTTGGTCCACCCTACATATTGTTTTTTATCTTTTTAGAATTATTCTATTCAACTTTATTTATCTAGTTAAATTTGATCAGAGAAGGACAGAGTGTGTGTGTGTGAGAGAGAGAGAGAGAGAAAGTGAGAAAGCAAGCCGCCAGTTCCAGGACTTGAATCGCGGTCGGCCATGTGGGAGTCCAGCGCCCTTGACCACCGCCACCTGCTGGCCCCAACGCTGCGTGTTTTCACGCCGCCAGTCCGGGACTCGAGCCTCACAGTAGGACATGTGGGAGCCAGTCACCCCTAGCCCCTTCACCTCTTGGTTTTTTTTGGGCTCCTGGATGTCATCTTCCCCTCTCTGTCCCCCATTACTCCTCTGTGTCCCGACGACCTGTCTCTCAGTGTTTTTGTGTCTCTCTGTCTTTGAGTCTCCCCCATCTCTGGATGTCCCTGTCGCTATCTCCGGGCCTGCGCTGGCAGGGTGCTGGGTGACGCGAGTCCGCCATCGTCTGAAATCTCTGCAGGGGCCGGCGGGCTCCTAGGTTCTCGGTCACGGCTAAGGTGCCACTCCTATTGCCTGCTCCAGGGCAGCCAGGGCTCCTGCTGTCCCAGGTGCTCCGCCGGGCGCCTTTTCTGGGCTACCGCGGCCCCCGAGAACTCTCGGAACGGAAGTTGGTGCGGGACGTTCGGCACACGGGGGACGTTTACTACAACACCGGGGACGTACTGGCCATGGACCACGAAGGCTTCCTCTACTTCCGCGACCGTCTCGGGGACACCTTCCGGTTTGGAGTGGGGGCGGAGCTGCCGGGGCTGGGGCGGGGCCGGGGTGGCACCCAGAGCTGGGCGGAGCCAGCCCGAGAGGCTGGGCTTGTAGGGGGGGCACTCCGCGCCGCGCGCG